ACGCCTCTCCAAATGCTCTCTTCTGAGATTTGAATGTGTGTGGTAGCCATCCTACATAGACTTGTTGTTAAACTCATGTTTTCTGTCCCAGGGGATCTGTGTTACTTACATATCTATGAGGAGGCACACGCTCCAACTCGGTTTTGCAGTGCAAATCGCCTTTACTTGCAATCCAGCTCTAGGAAACATGCTGTGATATCAGAGTGTTTCTTGATTTCCCCATGTTCTTTAAACTGGATGAATGAATAACTCTCCACATGCTCAAATCTGAGATCAGAATGTGTGTTGAAGCTGTCCTTCTCCTAGCTTGTTGGCAACCCAGATTTTAAGTCCTAGGGGAACTATGCTACTTACATATCTATGGGGTGTCTCTCACTTCAACTCAGTTTTGCCATGCAAAACACCTTCACTTGGAAACTGACATTAGGAAACGTTGAGAAATTAGAGTAAGTGTTTCTAGGTATCCCTCAGCCCTTTATGCTGGATGAATGAGCACCTCTCCGCATGCACACTTCTCAGATGTGAATGTGTGTGGAAGCCATCCTTCATCTAGCTTTTTAGGAACCCAGAGTTTCTCTCCTAGGGGAATTACGCTACTTATATATCTGTAAGGAAGCACACATTCCAACTTGGTTTTCCAGCGAGTACCGCTTTTACTTGGAAACAGGCTTAGGGATTTTGCTGAGAAATCAGAGTAAGTGTTTCTATTTGTACCCCTGCTCTTTATGCTGGATGAACGAACGCCTCCCCACATGCTCACTTTTAAGATCTGAATATGTGTAGAAGCCTTCCTTCACCTTACTTGCTGGGAAAACAGAGGTTGTGTCCTAGGGGAAGTATTCTACTTACATATCTATGGGGAGCCACTCACTCGAACATGGTTTTCCAGCACAAAAAGCTTTTACCCGGAATCTGGCTTTAGGGAACATGCTGAGAAATAATAATAAGTGTTTATAAATGTGTCCTTGGCCTTTATGCTGGATGAATGAATGCCTCTCCTCATGCTCACTTCTGAGTTCTGAATTTGTGTGGATTCCATCCTTCAACAAGCTTGTTGGGACCCTGATATTCTGGCCCTGGGGAACTATGCATCATACATATCTATGAGGAGGCACTCACTCTAACTTGATTTTGCAGTGCAATTCTCCTTTACTTGGAATCCGGCTCTAGGAAACAAGGTGAGATTTCTGAGAAAGTGTTTCAGGATTTCCCCATGCCCTTTAGACTTGATAAATGAATGCCTCTCCACATGCTCAATTCTGAGATCTGAATGTGTGTGGAAGTCATCCTTCTAGCTTATTGGGGTCCCAGATTTTATGTCCTAGTGTAATTATGATACTTACATATCTATGGGGAGGCAGTCACTCCAACTCGTTTTTTCAGTGCAAGATGTTTTTACTTGGAATTTGGCTGTAGGAAACAAGCTGAGAAATCAGAGTATGTGTTTCTACATGTGCCCCGGCCCATTATGCTTGATGAATGAAGGCCTCTCCATATGCATACTTCTGAGATCTGAATGTGTGTGGAAGCCGTCCTTCAGATAGCTTGAATGTAACCCAGAGTTTCTGTTCTTGTAGATCTATGCTACTTACATATTTATGGGGAGGAATTCGTTCCAACTAGGTTTTGCAGTGTAAATTTCCTTTACTTGGAAACTGGCTCAGGAAATATGCAAAAAATGATTCAGAGTAAATATTTTTAGATGTGCCTCTGTCCTTTATGCTGGATGAATGAATGCCTCTCTGCATGCTCACTTCTGAGATCTGAATTTGTGTGGAAGCCATCTTTCACCTAGCTTTTTGGGACCCCAAGATTCTGTCACTGCAGAACTACACTACTTATATATCTATGGGGAGGTTCTCACTCCAACTTGGTTTTACAGTGCAAATTTCTTTTACTTGGAAACTGGATCTAGGAAACATGCTGAGAAATCAGAGTAAGTGTTGCGAATTGTGCCCATTCCCTTTATGCTGGACCAAGGCTTGCCTCTCCACATGCTCACTTCTGAAGTCTGAATGTGTGTGGAAGCCCTCCTTCACCTAGCTTGTTGGTAGCTCAGAGTTTCTGTACTAGGGGAACTGCTCTACTTACATATCTATAGTGAGTTACTCACTCCGACCTGGTTTTCCTGTGCAAATCACCTTTACTTGATAACCGGCTTTAGGAAACATACTGAGAAATCTGAATAATTGTCTCTAGATGTGCCTTTGCCCATTATGCTGAATGAATGAACGCCTTTCCACATGCTCACTTCGGAGATCTGAATGTGTGGGGATGAGCCCTTCAAATATCTTGTTGGGATTCCAGAATTTCTGTCCTAGGGAAACTATGCTACTTATATGTCTATTTTGAGGCACTCTCTCCAACTTGGTTTTGCAGTTCAAATCCTTTAATTGGAATCCGGCTCTAGGAAACATTCAGACAAATCAGAGTAAGTGTTTCTAAATGAGCCTATACCCTTAATGCTGGATGAATGAACGCCTCTCCACATGCTCATTTCTGAGATCTGAATGTGTTCGGAAGCCGTCCTTTTTCTTGCTTGATGGAATCACAAGTTCATGTCCTAGGCGAGCTATGCTACTTACATATATATGGGGAGGCACTCGTTCCTACTTGGTTTTCCTGTGCAAACTGCTTTTACTTGGAAAGAGGCTTGAGGTAACATGCTGAGAAATCAGTGTGTTTCTAGATGTGCCCCCACCCTATATGCAGGATGAATGAACTCCTCTCCACATGCTCTCTTCTGAGATTTGAATGTGTGTGGTAGACATCTTACACAACTTATTGGGAACCCAGAATTTCTGTTCTAGGGTGTCAGCGCTCCTTACATATCTATGGGGAGGCACTTGCTCCAACTTATTTTTGCAGTGCAAATCGCCTTTACTTGGAATCGGGCTCTAGTAAACATTCTGAGATTTCAGAGGAAGTATTTCTAGATGACTCTCTGCCATTTATGCTGGATGAATTAACACCTCTCCTCATGCTTACTTTTGAGATTAGAATGACTTTGGAAGCTGTCCTTCACCTAGCTTGTTGGAAATCCATTCTTTCTGTCCTAGGGGAACTAAGCTACTTATATATCTATGGGGAGGCACATGCTTCAACTCGATTTTGCAGTCTAAATTGCCTTATTTGGATACTAGCTCTAGGAAACATGTTGACAAATCAGAGGAGGTGTTTCTAGATGGGCCACTGCCCTTTATGATGGATGAATGAACATCTCTCCACATGCTCATTTTGAGATCTGAATGTGTGTGAAAGCCATCCTTTACCTAGCTTGTTATGAACTCAAGATTCTGTCCTAGATTTTACAGTGCTACTTACATATCTACAGGGAGGCACTTGCTCCAACTCGGTTTTGCAGTGCAAAACACTTTTACTTTGATACCAGCATTAGAATACCTGCTGAGAAATCAGAGTAAGTTTTATGAGTTGTGCTCCTTTGGTTTATGCCTGGTGAGTGAACGCCTCTGTACATGCTCACTTCTGAGATCTGAATGTGTGTGGAAGCCATGCATTTCCTAGTGTGTTGGAAACCCAGAACTTCTGTTCTTCTGGAACTATTCTACTTACATATCTATCAAGAGGCACTCACTCAAACTTGATTTCCAGAGCAAGTCGCCTTTACTTGGAATCCAGCTCTAGAAAAATTCTGAGAAATCAAAGTAACTATTTCTACATGTGCCCCAGCCCTTTATGCTGGATGAATGAACGACTCTCCATATGCTCATTTCTGAGATCTGAATGTGTGTGGAAGCCATCATACTCATAGCTGGTTGTGATCCCAGAGTTTATGGCCTAGGGTAACTGCTAGTTACATATCTATGTGGAGGCACTCTCTCCAACTCGGTTTTCCAGTGAAAAGTCCTTTTACTTGGAAACAGGCTTTAGGCAACATGCTGAGAAATTAGTGTGTTTTTAGATGTGTCCCTGCCCTTTATGCTGGATGAAGAAACACCTCTCCACGTATTCACTTCTGATATCTGAATGTGTGTGAAAGCCTTCCTTCACCTATCTTGTTATAAACTCACAGTTTCTGTCCTAGGGGAACAATACTACTTACATATCTATGGGGAGGCACTTTCTCCATCTTCATTTTGCAGTGCAAATCACCTTTTCTTGATAACTTACTTTAGGAAATATGCTGAGATTTCAGAGTAAGTATTTCAAGTTTTGCCCCTGCCTTTTATGCTGGATGAATGAATGCCTTTCTGCATGATCACTTCTCAGATCTGAATGTGTGTGGAAGCCGTGCTTCTCCTAGCTTGTGGGGATCCCAGTGTTTACGTTCTAGGAAAACTATGCTACTTACATATCTATGGGTAGGCACTCGCTCCAACTCACTTTTGAAGTGCAAATCTTCTTTACTTGGAATCTGGCCCTGGGAAACATTCTCAGAAATCAAAATAACTGTTTCTAGATATTCCCCTGCCCTTTATGTGGAATGAATGAATGCCTCTCCGCATGTTAACTTCTGAGATCTGAATGTTCTGGGAGCCATCCTTCCCCTAGCTTTTTGGGATCTCATAGTTTCTGTCCTAGGGGAGTTTTGCTACTTACATATCTATGGGTAGGCACTCGCTCCAAATTCATTTTTCAGCAGAAAGCACTTTTACATTGATACCAGTATTAGCAAACATGTTGAGAAATCAGAGTAAGTGTTCCTAAATGTGTCCCTACACTTTATGCTGGATGAATGAATGCCTCTCCAAATTCTCACTTCTGAGATCTAAATGTGTGGAAGGCATCCTTAACCTAGCTTGTTGGGAACCCAGATTTCTGTCCTAGGAGAACTTTGCTATTTACATATGTATGGCGAGGCAGTTGCTCAAACTCGGTTTTGAAGCACAAACGTCTTTTACTTGGAAACTGGCATTAGGAAACATGCTGAGAAAACATACTATGTGTTACTAGATGTAACCTTGTCATTTATGCTGGTTGAATGAACGCCTCTCCACTTGCTCACTTCTGAGATCTGAATGTGTTTGGAAGCTGCCCTTCTCCTTGCTTGTTGGGATCCCAATTTTCTGTCCTAGGGGAACTACGCTACTTACATACCTATGGGGAGGCACTCACTCCAACTCGGTTTCCTGAGCAAATCGCCTTTACTTGGAAATCAGCTCTAGGAACCATGCTGAGAAATCAGAGTACATGTTTCTAGATGTGCTCCTGCTCTTTATGTTGGATGAATGAACGCCTCTCCACATGCACACTTCTGAGATCTGAATGTTTGTGGAAACCGTCCTTCACTAACTTTTTGGGAACACAGAGTTTTTGTCGTAGGGGAACTATGCTTCTTAGATATCTATTGTTAGACAGTCCCTCCAACTGGACTTTCCAGCGCAAATTGCCTGTACTGGCAAACTGGATCTTGGAAACATGCTGAGAAATCACAGTAAGCTTTTCTATATATCCCTTAGCTCTTGTGCTAGATGAAGGAATGCCTCTCCACTTCTTCAATTCTCAGATCTGAGTTTGTGTAGAAGCTGTCCTTCACCTAACTTGCTGGAAACACAGAGTTTCTGCATCAGGGGTACTATGCTACTAACATATCTAAGGGGAGGCACTGGCTCCAACTCAGTTTTCCCATGCAAACTGCCTTTCCTTGCAAAAAGGTGATGGAAAACCAAGTTGGAGCGAGTGCATCCCCATAGATATGTAAGTATCGTAGTTCCCCTCAAGCAGAAACTCTGTGATCCCAACATGGTTGGTAAAGGATGGCTTCCACACACAGTTAGATCTGAGAATGGAACAAGGAGAGAGGAATTGCTGCATCTAGCATCAAGGGCTGGGGGGTATCTGTAAAGATTTACTGTGATTTCTCAGCATGTTTCCCAGAGTCAGTTTGCAAGGAAAGGCAGTTTGTACTGAAAGCCAAGTTGGATCCAGTGCCTCCTTATAGATATTGAAGTATCGTAGTTCTCCTCAAGCAGAAATTCTGTGTTCCAGGTTTTACAGGGACAGCATGATCTGACCCACATGGACAGCTACAAAGGATTCAAAGAACAAAGAAATCCTACACCAAGAAGTTTGCAAAATCCAAACACAGCCCTTGCCCTTTTTATTAAAAAAGTGTCTGAAGTTTGACTTGGGAAAGATGGTTCTCCTGGACATTTGTCTACCATAATTGTGCTCTTCAACTGTCTACATGGATCAGGTCATAGTGTCTCTGTAAATCCTCTAACAAGACAAAATTTATTTTCTATTCTGCAACTTGTCTTTATATCAGTGCAAAAGTGTTAATATCCTTAAAGAACAGAGCCTTGAGAATAGGTTCTCCTGTATATTTCAGGCTAAAAGCCACATTGTTTTACAAAAGATGCAGAGCTAGTGACTAAGCCAAGAAAAGAGGGCACAGGATTAAAGCCAAAAGAACAGATCTAATATGGAGTCAGACTTGTTCTTTTCTTATGTAGTGTATTCTATTTTTATATTTTAAATTTATAAGAATAAAGTTTATCCTTTTCCCATTTTAAATTGTGCAATTAAGGAGCATTAGGTACATTCACATTGCTGTGAGACCGACACCGCTGGATTCAGACTATTGCCTTCCTCAAAGTAAAAGCTTGTATCCAAAGCACAACCCCATGTCCTCCCTCCCTCATCCTGTGATAAGCCCTAAACCCCTTTCTCTTTCTGTGTCTTTACCTACCTTGGAGGTTCCCTATCAATGAAAACATATAAATGGTGGCTTTTTTTTTTTTGCCTGCCATATATCTTAAGCAAGGATAGTTGAATTTTTTTTGTTTTTATGTTAACTAGCATTTCTGTATTTTGAGAGGAAAATCCAGATGGATTAAATATGAGACATACTAAATGAAGCCCTTTTAGTAACTAGGTGCATAATCTCATGGTAGGCACTGCTGTTCTAAGTGTGAGACCAGAGCCAGAAGGGAGATGCTTAGCTCTTCCTGTGGAAAAATAAAACCAAGCAAAAGCAGAAAACAAAGGCCAAGAAATACAGCTGGAAAGACAAAGTACAATCTGGAAAATGTGTCCCTCATGATCCAAGGTCAGAGAAAGGCTTCACATACCTTTGATCCAAAAACTTCTTGAAACCCAGTATTCTGAAAAGAAACAAAACACATACAGTCAGTTCCAATGAGAGGCAGTGCAGGTGGCCAGTGTGTGTCAGGTTAGGACACAGGCAGATGGACACACTGTGGAGACAGCATTGGCCACCATCAGACTGGCAGGTCTTTAGCCTGGTGACAACCAAATCCAGTGACAATGTGAGGAGGCAGAGGACCCAGCAGATTGCCTGGAAGGTAGAGCAAATGGATGCTCCTCTCTGGGAGAACAGGGTACAGGACACATAAAAGTGCCACAGGTGCATCCCTTCCCCAGTAGTTCTGATCCATAGGGCTGATCCCACCAAAGTTCTTGCACAACTTTCAAAGATGATTTTTCTTCAGTAACATGAGTTCAAAATAATCAATATGTCATCAAGGCATTTTCAGAAGTGACCTTCCCTGGGCCCTAACAATACACACACATAATTACACACATATACACATAAATACATACACAGATAGACACATAAATACATACACAGGTAGACACATAAATATACACACATATACATCCAGGAAAAGAGACAGACAGACTGAAACACAGAGAAGCAGAGGGAGACAGAGAAACAGAGAGAGAGAGACAAGACATAGATAGACGCACTGAGAGACAGACAGAGAAAATGAAAACTGGATCTGGGAATGAGTGGAACTCACGCACATTTTCACAAGTCAGTCTACATGTCAGAACCTGATCCCAATGTCCATCCACACTCCAGGGGAGGGTGTGGGGATCACATAAGGACGTGTGACCAGAAGGCAAAAAACAGGAAGTCATTGTGGGGCAGCCCATCACAGAGGCCGAGATGGGAAACTGGGCCTGTATGTCAATATGACAGAAAGACCTACGAGGTTGTGTGCCAGAGTGGATGATGTCAGAGATGTATTTAATTTCAATTCCATGACCAGGAGCTGGGAAACAAGCAGCATGGAAGGTGACTTTCTCCAGACCCCAGGGCAGACCCCTAGTCAGTGTGGCATGTGCTCTGCACTCTGCCAGCCCTCTGTGGGGTCCTTCATTTGCTGAGTCTGTGCATGAGCTCCCTGTGATGCCAGCCTGTGGGGGTGACAGGTGCAGTAGGTGTTTCTTTGTCTACAGACAGGATGGCTTCTCTTGGAAGCAAGAAATGGGAACAAAGAATGGTCCCCACTGTGCTGATGGGGGATTGGGGAGACCCTGGGAGGCACATGGCTTGTCCAGGGTGACAGCACTGCTAAGTGGGGGGATCTGGGTCAGAAACCAGCTGTGTCATCAGAGCAGCGGCCCTGGCTGCATCCAGGACTCCCCAGGGCTATGGGGTTCTGAGTTGGTGTCACTGTGTGAGGACAAGGCATGGGGTGGGAAGTGAACCATTGGCAGCCCAGAAAGTCCCTTGGGGAGCTTTGTTTAAGGAGGAAGCTTGGGTAAGGGAACCCCAGGAAAGAACATCACTTCCCTGGCAATAGAGCACAACAACTTGGAACCGAGGTCACCAGGCACCCACTCTGTAGAGAAGCACCTACTCAGCTCACTTGGTTGGAGACAGAGGCATGTTCTGCTTCATACCAACATTCCGAGGCCACGGCACCCAAAAAGTCTGCAGTGAGGGGCTGTTCCAAAACTGGGTCAGGTCTCACCCCAGGAGCCCCTGGCCTTTTGGCCAGAGAGACCCAAAGGTAACACAAAGAGGCTCAGGGCAGGCCCACCCAGGCCAGGCCACCACTCAAATCTCACACAGGTAGCCCCACAGCCCCTTCCTGGCTGGTGGAGGTGGGACAGTCACGTTGGGGATGGATTTCTGCCTCAGGCAAGAGCAGGTCAGAGGCCAGGGTGGCTGATCACAACCACAGCCCATGTCAAAAATGGCAGGCAGGGATTTGGAGAGCTGGGTCAGGGTCCTGCTGCGTGAGGTGGAGCCCATGCTCTCTGGGTATGTCTCTTCCCTCTCTGGTGACTATCTGAGCTGAACAAGGACCCAGTCTGATCTGGCAGCATAGGGTTGAGTGGACAGAAGCAGGAGTGTATCTGGCCGGGAAGGGCTCTGAGACTTCCAGGCCGGGTCAGCTGCTGGTAACTGTTATTACAGAACCAGAACCACATATTGAACAGGAACTGATGGATAAGAACACCCACACCACCTCCCCAATTGAGGGGCTGGTGTGCCACACTTCTGAGGTCCAGTTCAGGCTCCAGGTGAGTCTGGATATGAAGGGGTCCCCACCACAACAGCCCAGAAATGAATGGGCAGGCCTCCGACCCAGACGTCACCCAGGGCTCTGCCCAAGAATCTCCCCAGGGCTGACGGGCAGGACAGAACACCCGGTTCTGACCTGGGGCACCATGCCCACCTGGCTGTAAGTCAGGTGGAGGACCAGGAGCCCCCGAAGAAGAGCCCAAAGGTGAGAAGGGCAGGGCTGGTGCATGTTTGTAGGTGAGGGAGTGGTGAGGGCTGGGCCACACAGAGAAGTGTCCCCAGAGGCTACTGTCAGGACCAGAGCAAAGAATAGCCTCAGACCACCTGCCTTGAAGAATTCAGTCACAAAACACATCCTGTGGGTACTTTCTGGGTGGGAGCTGTCTGTAAAGCTCTGGGAAGATTTCTGTCCTCGAAGAGGCAATTGGAAGGGAAGCACATGGGTAAATTTTTCCTCTCTCACAGCCTGAGCACTCCCACAAAACTTAAAACTCTCTCCACTTACAACAGTTACAGATCCAGAGCAGGCAGAGGCAGGGGAAGATTTCAGATTCCAAGAAAAGGACCATCTGGATCCAGCAGAACAACCCGAGCTCACTCCTGCAGCTCTTAAAGATCCTCCTGAACCTGCACCTGCACCTGGACTGCTGGACAATGGAGAAGCATTTCAGGCATCACCACCCCCTGGAGCAGAGCCCCCTCTGCACCCACCCACACTTTCTTCACCAAAAATCCCACCATCAGTCCCATCCTCCTCCCAAACGTGACTTCCCTTCCACTGGAGATGATTTTGTTTGATTTTTCTTAACTTTCTTTTTTTTGTTTCACATGTTATTTTTCTCTGTAAAGTTTCCTCTAATAAAATATAGACATTTTCCCTTTTAAATTGTGCAATTCAGGAGCATTATGTGCATTCACAATGATGTGCGACCATCACTACCATCTAGTTTCACACTATCTCTCTCCTCAAAGTAAAACCCAGGATCCAGAGCATGCACTCCACTTCCTCCCTCTCCCAGCCCCTGACAACTGCAAGTCCTCTTTCTCTCTGGGTGTCTTTACCTCTCCTGGTTGTTCCCTGTCAATGAAACTCCATGAAAGTTGGCATTTTGTGCCTGCCCACATGTTTTAAGCAGGGGCTGGTGATTTTTTTGTTTGTTTGATTTCACTTGAAATAGCATTTTTAGTATTTGAAAGGGAAATCCAGGGGGATTAAAGATGTGATGTACAAAAATGAAGCCTTTTTAGTTACTCTGTGCATAATCTCAGGGTACACACTGCTGTACCCCTGTGACACCACAGTCAGAAGACAGAAAGGAGATTCTTTGCTCTTCCTGTGGCAAAAACAAAACTGAACAAATCAAAAAACTGGCAAAATCCCAGAACAACAGCTGGAAATACAAACCACAGCCTGGAAAAAGCGTACCTCATAACCCAAAGTTGGACAAAGTTTTCACATCCATGTAGCCCCAAACCCTCTCAAAACCCAGTGTTCTAAACAGAAACAGACCAGACAGGGGCAGCTCCAATGAGAGGCAGTGCAGGTGGCCAGTGTGTTTTAGAGATACTTGGTCTCTAGTGAGGACACTGGCAGATGGTTACGCTATAGAAACAACACTTGTCACCATCACACTGGCAGGTCTTTAGTCAGGTGACAACCAGCCCTGGTGACAATGTGAGCAGGCAGAGGCTCTAGCCGATACCCTGGAGAGAAGAGTGAATAATGGACACTCCTTTCTGGGAGAACAGGGTACAGCACACATCAAATGGTAACAGGTACATCCTTTCCCCATGATCCTTAGAGTTCATCCCACTAAATTCCTTGCACACCTATTCAAAGATGTCTTTTCAAGGGTGTTCATCACAGCACTTTTCAAAACCATTGGAATTAAAGCAACACTAAATTAAATGGAGAGGAGATGGGGTCCACTCATTCTGGTTCATGTAGATGAATGAATGCTGTGCAGTTGGAAAAGTGGGTGCTTATTCTCTACCCAATGTGAAGGGAGGCTTCAATTTCGAAGTATGCAGACCCACTGTCTGTATCCAGGGTCCCATCTGCACGACCACATATGTGTGAAATCAACATAGATGCAAATGAATCAGATTGTGAGTGTGTGAGATACAGAGACAGAGAGAGACATACTGAGAGACACAGAGACTGAGAGAAAAGCACCAAATCACTCATGACAGTTTCCTCTGTGCGTGCGATTTAGAAACCTCTTCTCTTCTCTTTTAGGTAATATTTCAATTTTTTGTCATGTGTCTGTATTGTTCTAATAATTCTAAAAGTATTAAAGTGACTTGTTAATGTAACCCATTCATTATTTATCTATGGAGTAATTAAAGTACATTAATCCTATTTTTAAAAGATTTAAAGCCTTCTCAAGACTCAATTCCATGTCAGCTCCTTGGCAGGAGAGATTCTCCAGGAGGTCGTGTCCGTTTTGAATCAGCATCCAACAGAGGTGAGGAAGTAGTACCAGACGTGGACACTGAAGACTATAATAGATGAGAGATTCTGTTGAGAGAAATTAAGACCTATATTCAGAGAAAATAACTCCATATTCATGGAGAAGAAAGCTTAATTCTACTAAGATGACAAGAGTCCACGAATAGATCTAAGGACTCAAAGAATGCCTACCCAAATCCCAGGAGGTGTTTTGCAGGAATTGACAATCAATCTAAAATTCACGTGGAAAATCCAGGGGCTCAGAGTACATTAGTGAATCTTGAAAAAGAAGAACAAATTTCGAGGAAAGGAGAGTCAGATGGAACCCACAGTTAATACAAAAGCACTTTAAGCTGAAGATACCTGAGATTCAATAGATGTAGAAGAAAACCTCTCATGGAAGCCAATTCTCTCCTCTCCTTTTGTCCTATTAAGTTAGGTAGATAAAAAAGTCTTTAACTTTAACCATTTAACATGGTAGTTACTTTTCTGGTTGGCTCCTGTGTGTGTATAAATAAACAGTTTCTCTCGTTAATCTACTCTTTACTTCTATGGGATCTTTGGGAGGGATGCTGGATGATGAGGACCTGCTCTTTTCTCACCATCTTTCTGACATCTTTTTTCCACGGGGGAATGATTAAAAAAAAGTCTCATTATTTATGGTGCAGATTTGTAACATGAATAATTTGGAGACCCCTGGAGGAAAATGGGAGTTCAATACTGCTGGGAGAATTTACTGGTTGTCTTGTCCATATGCCCAATAAGGTGCTATTTGCAAGGAGTTTTTTTTAAGTTTCTTACCCTACAACAAACACCCTATCTAAACCTCTTAGATGATCAAATATAAAGAAAGACAAAGGAGGATCATGGCTAGCCTAAGAACACTTCCTTAACAAAATGGAAGGACAGAATCAGACTCAGAGCAAAAATTAAAATCCATGTATACCATCAACCCTCCCACCCATTTGTAGACTGTCCTCATGTAATCTTCCAGATGGCTCCCTGGAGAAGGCCCTCACCAAGTTGGCAAATGGTCAGTTCCTTTGCCTGGAACTCATGGTTGCTTTCAATGGTTGGCCTAGTGGGAGGTGGTCCCTAGGGACTGAGAGGGGCTGTTTGTGAAACCTTCTCTGCTATGACCCACTGGGCTGAAAGGGAACTGTGTGCTCTGAGGGAGATAAAGCACACCAAGCCTCTGTGGAGGCATCTCTGAGATCATCTCAAAGGCACACATCCCTAACTCTGCACACAGGAATTTTTGATTGGCATCTTATTTGGAAATCTCCTCCTAGATAGGAAGAAGCAGATTCAAGATGTTGCAATTGGATGGGCAGGTCGACCTCTGGAATTTGTCGATGAGGAGGATACACAATTCTCTGAAGAAGTAGGAACACCCATCCTTGCTCTGCTGACCTCATCTACAGAGAAATAGAGATGCGGCTCTAGGGGGAATTCAATGCCCACAAACCCTTCTTACAGACATCAACGTCCCCACTTATTCTCCTGTCATTTCCCTGCAGAAAATCTGTGACTCAGCCCAAAAAATCACATACCCTTCAACCTGAACCACTCTGTGTCTCTCTGTGTCCATCTCACGCACTAAGGCCTGTGACCATTATTGTCAATTCGTGTCCCCCTTTCATCCCGTCTCCCGCCATCATCCCAGCCCAAACTCGGTGTCTCTCTCCAGGTCAGCAGGACTCTTCCCACTGGCTTCCCATCTGCTTACCTTGATCTGCTTTCATTGTTAATTCCCCAAACTTTACCCACAACATTCTTATTAAAGTATGAATCAGATCAATTTGTTCCCCTGTACAAAATTCTCTCGTGATTTTCCATTCTATTCAGAAGAATATACAGAGTTCCTACCAAGGCCCTGTGTGATCCAGTCCCTCATCCATCTCTGCAGCCTCAGTTCTCACTGTTCTGCTCCAGCCCATCTTAACCGCCCAGATGGTCCCCACCAGGACAGCTGTGTTTGTAACTCCAAATCTTGTACTTACAATTCTCCTGGCCTGGGAGGCTTTTCTTGTCTGTTACCTACGTGGTTTATTCTTTTACTTCATTCAGGGCTTTGTTCAAATTATTTTACCCTCAGACAGAACTTATCTGACCACATTATTTAAGATAGCATGCACATATTTCCTATTCAATCATTTTCTATCCTAATATGCTTTATGTTTCTTGTGGCAATTATTATTACCTGGCAGTACATAATATATTTATTTGCTTACTGGTTTATTGTCTATCTTTGTTACTAGTCCTATATTCATGAAACCACAAATAACTGTATTAGCCAGTAATTTTCAAACCTCCCTTAAATGAATTCTTTTATAAGATGAGAATTTCAGAGGCTTCTGTGGGTTGCTTAGGGGAAAAAAGAGAAAGGATTCAGGTTGAACTAAGTTCTTAAGGACCTTGTAGTTGGTTATTTATTTTATACATAGTAGTGTGTATCTGTTAATCCCAAACTCCTAATCTAGCAATAAGCCAAGCTGATTACTTTTTTAAAACATTTTTTTCTTTTTAAAGTTGGGTTGTTTGAGATCTCTTTTCTTATTTGTTCTTTTTCTTTTTTTGAAGAATTTTTCTTATTATTTCATTACATTGAGATACTGTGAATTGAATCCTGCACATACTCTACCGCTTGAACAATACCCTCCCATCCAAATACAATTATTTTTATTCTTTGACAGTACCATACTGAATTAAGATTTTTTTTACTCCATTTTCCCTTCAGAGAGTTTATAACTGAGGGAGAGAGAGTCAGAGGAAGCCCTGGGCCATCCCTTCCTTCTCAGCAGATTACTACACAGCACAGGAGCTTGGCTGTCACCAGGCCTAGCTCACCTTTCTGCTCTGAGGGCCAACTCAGGCCACTTCTCTAAACAGAGGCATGTTAGAAGCAGTAGAAAGCCAACTAGTGAGCAAAAATGACAAAACTGACCCAACTGCTGTTGGACATCATCTGCTCTGAAATGAACCTCTTAAATCTCTTCTTCCTATTAGTGGATGGTTTTCAAAAATATTCCCAAGGAGATGAGTCTCACTCTATTTTTCTGTATTTCTTGGGCGTTCTATGAATTTAACTGCAGGCTTGATTTTCTGCAGAACATCTGCAGGGATGCAAGGCAGAACACTTGAAGAGATCCTGCAGGCTACAGTTGAGGCCTCTGGTGATAACATCCTTGTTGTTCAGAGCCTACGTTCATGGGACCATTTTCATTACTGCTGTAATTAGTTCTCATCCAAGTGTACCACCAAAAATGAGTCTAGATTGAAAGTGATCTGACGCAGGTGAGCAGTGGGGATGTGGGATGCAGATGGCAGACAGATTGGAAGGAGATATGGGAAATGTTTCTTCAGGCTTCAGTTGGAATATTTCTGGTTTTTATATAGACATTAAATTTGGTCAGGTTAAAGCGTCATTTGCTCTAAGAAGTGCTAATGTACACTTGTCCCTACAACTTCTAAATACTATGATGTATCTCGACGTGACAGCCTAGGGGACAGACAGCTTAGAGTGACTCCTACATTGCAGGATGCCTATGACCTCGGGCTCACAAAGAGGAAAAGAATACACAAATTTTGTGTGTGTATTTCTATGTGATATTATTTTGACCCTTGCTGGATGGTGTATGATCAGAAATCATGTATTCTTTTTTACATGGTAAAGACAACAATTCTTGATGAGTCAGCAGACTGTTTCCGATGGCCCGGGGTCTGTGCCAGACATTAGCTGTCCAGACAAATACCACATAGCCCCCCATCCCTCATGGAGATCACACTGTGTCGTGGAAGAGACAAATTTAAATACATTTTCAAAACAACGTGGTAAGTCACTTGACATCGTGTATACTGCATGTTCAGAGGGGCTCTTGCACTACCTGGGGCAGGGTTCTAGAAGGTAGGGAATGTGTCAGAGAGGAAATGCTTCCTGCACTGACATCTGAAGGATTCCAGGAAATCTCCAGACCAGGAGATTGCGTGGTGGGGACGGGATTCTTGGTAGCTTGCCTGTCCCATGCAGGGGTCTGGTCGTGTCTAAGAGCACTTTCCACTTAGGGAAGGAAGGTCAGTGAGGCTAGAGGCTGTGAGGAACTAATGGAAGCTGAGGCTGAAAAAAAGCAGCAACTAGGTGATGAGAAGGTTTAACGTTAAATCAGGGAGCGTGAATTTCCTCACATACGCAGCTGGGATTTATCT